TTATACTTCGCTTTCACTCTTTTCAACGCCCAAACATATATCTATCTCATTTTAAGTTAAAAAAATTGAGGATTTCAAGCAACGCGAACATTGCAAAGTGCGAACGGTGAAGCGCCATTTTACTACATGGCTGAAATCTGCGATATATTATATAATACATAGTTTCATCCATGTATGAAACCACATATAATACGTTGAGTTTGATACGTGCCCAACCCTGCTCGCGAAATCCTTGGTGAAATTGACGCGCTATCTCACCAATAATTATATCGGCAGTTTTAACTTGAACTGTCCTGATAAAAAGATGATATCCCTTGAATTGTGATATATATGAACGTTTTCATTATCTTATTTATAACTGATATGTTGCATTATATGCAATATACAACACAGATATATACAAGATTCCATAGAATCTTACTTGTCTTGTCCAAGGTCTTGTCTTGTATCTTGAATCACATTGACAAAATTTCATATAGAGCACTTCAAAATGTTTCGCTATGTATACGTTTATTCAGAGATACACGGAGAGAATTTTTTCTTAGAATTTACCCTGAAAACATGATAGTCGTGGGACAGCATTGTATTTCGAAGAATTTTAATGTAAATCTCTCTCATTGCTAAAACTACAATAAAGTATAAAATAAGTTTGATTAATTTTACTGAAGTGCATAGTAAAAATCTTTAAAATATTGTATTGTACCACAACTATACCATATTTTCAAGGTAAATTTTAAAAGAAAATTCTCTCCGTGTACCAGAAGGTTTACAGGTTATCACAGTGCCGTGATCCACTGCTAATGCCAACATTTCTTGAACCTTGTCGTTCACTTCATCAGGATGAGAAGCGCACTAATACATTAATGATTGCACTCCAACTGTACGTTCCCAAAACAATTGCTATAGAATGTCAAGCGAATGAACGTAATTATTTTCACAGGTAAATTTCGATCTCCACATGAGCTTGTAGGTAAAGCATCAAGGCATAGACAAATAATATTTGTTATGGATGTTGCATTTTGCGCAATTATATATATAAACTCACTTGTCTAAACGAAAAATTAGTTACGCTTAAGTGCCATTAGCGTTAGTAATCCAGATCGTTGGTAACCAATCTTATAAGCATACTTTCTTAGACAACGAGAGCAGCAGTCGAGGACTCATCGAGTATGAAACGCATTATAAATGTTTATCTGCAACTGTACTAGTTACAAGGAACGTCAGAGTTTATCTGACTTCGCTTCGAGAAGAATCAAGTATTTTCTTGACCAGCCGTAATGCTGGTCGCAGCTGTCGTACTTCACAATCATTATTCAAACGTCGAATAACGGTAATTTGGTTTAATAATATTCATGCAAGGACATTATATGAAGACATTAATAATCATGAGATCATCGACATTTTGCTAACAGGCAAAATATGTACGTTTATATTTTCATACATATTCATACAGCAAGACGCACGTCATTTTGCTGAAAGGACGAGGCTTTAAAAAAGACCTCGAGGCAAATTAAAGAAGCCGATTGAGAGATTTAAGAATGTGAGAGGGAAGACACGAGATAGAAGTTTATATCAAGTATGCTAAACGGGATTGAAGAAGGGAGAGGAATGGAATAGAATGCGGGAGAGATGAGCAAAAGGACAGAGCGAAATGACGCTAGAGATGTCATCTTGCAAAAAACCGCAAGAAAAGTATGACTCGACAAAGAAGGGGAATAATCACTGCGATGGCTCGACTCTACGTTGAAATCATTTCCTCCGAGTTCCTTGCGTCATTAAGCTGCGTGGTTCGTCGGCGTGGTATCTCTTCTCGCGTTCCCTATTCTACTCTTCCTTTTCGTAACTCGTTTCTTGCCCTGAACTTGAATCCATTTTTTCCCTTCAACTCCGCTTCCACTTACCTTCCGTGTTCCAACCGTCATAGACCTTCCTTCGGAGAAAGAGGAGAAGGTTGTTGTGAAACCACGATACCGGAATTACGCGATGACGAACTGCCCGTGCCTGCTTTGCTATCTCGTGATACAAGAAGGCAATTGAAAGTAAAGGGATTCAAGGGAACTGTAATTTTGATGGATGGTTCAGATATGACGCTACACACGGAGGAAATGTGTAATTAAATAATTATAACTGCGATAACTCGCTGATAAAGTTAATACTCGAAGAAGATATACGTCCAGTGCTTTCATAATAATCTCTCATACGATTGTTTGTCCAATCTTATATAATATATACACTTTTGAAAGAATTTATATAATTTATTTTATTAAAGATGTTTTATCACAAATGTAACAATGAGAGCGATTTCGAGTTTTGTCGACAGTCGATTTGAATTGTCGACAATCATTTCGCAAATTTAAAGAGACAACACAGAGACGCGTGTAGGCGAACACTACCATACAGGTGCACATCGAGCGTGAAAGTGACAAAATATGATACGTGGCGTGTCGCGACACCAAGGTCATTTCTTAGAAAAACGTCGGTCATTCAAAAACGTCGATGACGCCGATGTGTTCGGTATGAAAGTGCGTGCGCGTGTAAAATTGCGGTGACGTTGTCAGTTTTCTCGATAACAGGAGACAACTCGTGTTGAAACGTGGGTATAGTTAGACTCGCAGGGGAAGGGATTAGCATAAAGACGTAAAGTCTGTAAACCGTTTCTTCGTAATTCCTTCCGAAAGGGGGAAGGTAGATGAAGGACATTCGCTACATGTGGAAGATCCGACTTAGGCTGCGTTCGGAAACGTCGCTCGGATGCCTCTCCGATGCCTCGGATTCATCATCTGTCCTTTTTTAACATTTAATGTTAAAAAAGGACAGATGACGAATCCGAGGCATCGGAGGCATCCGAGCGACATTTCCGAACGCAGTCTTAGGTATTCACTCGAGAAGAATTTCAACGGTGGGCGAAACTCGATTTCTTTATGGAAGGTGAAATTCGCAAGAACATGCGAGGGAGAGAGGTCGCAATGTCTCATCGAATAAAAAACTACCCACGCAAATACTATTTTTGGGACGCCTCGCCCATGTTGACTTTCATCTGGAAATTAGAATTGATTCTTCGTTGGACCTTGCTTCTCCATGCGAACATACCTTCGCGTCCATATTTGTCGCGATACACACTCCATTGTCAGAGAAAAAAGACATGAGGTAACAACTATAAAGGTGACAATTATATGTAGAATTAATGTACATAGTTAAATAAACTATTTTATAGTTAATGCGGATATAAAACAGTTTATTCAACTATGTACATATAATTCTATATATAAACATGTATAGTTGTAACTTTTATAGTTGTCACCATTATGTTTTTCTCTGGGTGTACGATTGTTTAGGATCATTTCATTCGTTCTGAATTATGTTTCATCAACTCCTTTTTAACGATTTTTAATAGGTAATCACATTTATATTTATCACTGACATTCAGACGATAAAACGAACGTTAACAATACTTGCCTTATTCGAAACATGCAAAACGTATTACTCAAGAAGTTATAAAATCCTCATCTTTGCTGAGAAATGGACCTCATCATTTTCTTAACGCGTCTTTATTTGGCAAATGTCTCATGCACGCGTAGTACGTTTTAACTTATTGCGTTAACACTTCGAGCCACTTTTGAATGTCATTGACACACTTTGTGTATGTAAAGCCAAGCGGATTTACCAAACCATGATGTAACACGCAACAATATACTAATTGTAAGAAGAAGAACTACACATAATGTATTCACTTAAGATTATCATGATTAAATTATGTTTGTAATTGTTTCATAGCTCACAATATATAGAAACATGAATATTAGTAAACGTCTAGATACATTGTGATTTATAAATTAATCTATAGTTGTGCTTTCCTTTCTTTCCAAAATTCGCGACACTGAATATTATAGCAAGAAAATTTTCGGAAAATTAAATAAATGTAGGCTTGGGTAAGTTAACTTTTTTTTTAACTAAGTTAAGTTAAAATTAACAGCCTTTAAAATTTAACTTAATTAAAATACAAGTTAATCCATAATGAATTAATTAATTGAATTAAAAGTTAAATTAATAAAAAAATTGAAAAGTTAAAATTGGTCCGAACGACCAAAAAAAAGAAAAAGAAAAAGGATTGACTAAAAAAAAACCAAATTAAAAGTTAATAGTTACCGATAAAATGTAACTAAATTAAGTTAAAAAGTTAAGAGTCTAAAATGTAACTAAGTTAAGTTAAAATTAACTTTTTAACTTTTTAACTTAATTTTTATGTTTTTAACTTAGCACTACCCAATCCTGAATAAATGTATTGTAGACAATAGTTTTGAGATGTAAGAGATAAATATGAAAGTTTTGAGATATAAATATGGCTAATATTTATTATCTATTATAAACTAGTGGTCATATCTTTACTTAGAAACTACTGCTTAAAATAAAAATTTACATATCACTTTTTTACTTAATTTCGAGAACTTTCTTACTATAATATACTATATTTTGAGTCGCGAATTTTATAATAGTCTATATGTACTATATTATTGTATACATTCAGCATTTACAACGAAATTTTAAGGTGTGAAACTTAGGCCTCAAATCATAATTGACCACTCACAGTCGAATGTGAGGAGAATAATCGACGATAATTTCTTATAGGAGGCCTAAAATTTATGCTCTTATTTAGAGGGTTTCTAAGGGAAACGGGAGGGAGATGTGTGAGCGATCAACCAATGCACACCGCAGCTGCAGCCTGCAAACTGCAGTCGAAGTCGAAGTTGCCGCTACCGCTGCCGTTACCGTCTGCTGAACTGACCGGCCGTCGAACCCGAGAATTGCTCCGCGAGAGATGCATCGTAATAAATGCACAAAGTGCCTCGCAGGCAGGGCGAGTCCCGGTGGAGTATACATTTGCATCCATCCTCTGGCGAAATTTCTCTCCCATTCTCTCTCTCTCTCGCACACCCTCCCTCTCTCCTTCTTTTCTTTCTTTTGCCTCCTTGCCTCCTTACCTCTTAAATTCCACTACCGCGGATTCCGGTCTCTCTCCCTGGTATTCGCAATAATTTTTCATTCCGTTTGCATCGACCGTGTGGCATCGACCGCGACTGCAGAAAAACCTGTGATTTTCCAATCACGGGTCCCGTTAGTCGCTTAAGAGGGGATGAATGGCTCTCCTGGTCCGTGGACGGTAGAGACCCTAAGAGGGTCTCTAGTGAACGGAGAGCATTAGCGTGCAGCATGATCCGTCCCCTCGCGTAAATCATAGATCGAATGACAGAAGGCAGAAGATACCGTTTGTACGCATGCAAACATGCATGTCTCGCCTCGCTCCTATCGGTTGCATCGCGTCACGTCGTCGCCGCGTTGCGACACCGAGGAAATTACCTCGGCTAATGAGAAGTTTAACGGCTTCCTGGTTTACATTGATATTAGCGTTAAAATATACATATATTTTTATTGCGTGTCGATGGGATGTTAACATTAAACCGCGGCCGTAAAGTATACACCTTGTGCGTTCGGATCACTATCATTTCGATTGCGATTGCGATTAGCGACGCGCTTATGCTGATTCTACAATGAGTTAACAATCCTAAGTCTTATCGGTGAAGTTTTATCAGTGACCAATAGCCAACTTGTACGACTAACACTGATTGGCCAACTTCACCGATTAAGATTTCCGATTACATACTCATTGTAGAATCAGCATTTGCACTATCTGCACAACGCAGACTGAATTGCCTTGAACTAATACACGGAGAGAATTTTTTCTTAGAGTTTACCCTAAAAATATGGTAGTCGTGGGATAACATTGTATTTCGAAGAATTTTAATGTAAATCTATCTCATTCATTAATAAAACTACTACAATAAAATATAAAATAAATTTGATTAATTTTACTGAAGTGTATGGTAAAAATCTTTAAAATATTATATTGTACCAGAACTTTTCTCTACAATATTTTCAGGGTAAATTTTAAAAGAAATTTTTCTCGGTGTAGTAACGCCAAAGTCCTCTCAACTTTGTCTTTGTACCGAAGCTTTAACAATCTTAAAAACACCAGTGCTTCAGCTGTAACTTCCGTTTTTATATGGTGTGCCATTCTGTTATTTACATTGACAACCTGCTTTTTTGGTTTCACGGCGACAAATTTGACTGGACTCTAATCACTGTATCTATTGATGTAATAAGGGTAATTTTCACGAGCTGCTCAAAAAGAATCGCGTGGTCAAAATTGACGAATGATATTCGTCAATTTTGACCATGTGATCCTTTTTGTCGCTGAAACAGCCGGTTTGAGCGGGTCCTGAAATTCTACCTATAATCATAGTAGAAGCACGCCATACTGTTACGAATGTTCTATTAGCATCGCTGACGTCATGAGAAATGAACGGAATCGTACAGCAAGGCGATGCAACGGACGTAGGACTTCGTCGTGACAGTTCGCTACGTGCATGAATTATAATTAAGGATAATATCCGCAGCTTTCTGGTCAGCGGAATACCTGCATGTAGTTTATAGCGGATGCAAGTGATAAGACGATTATTTAGGGTACGTTTCCACCGAGTCGCGTCGTCCGTCCGCGTCATGAGTTAACCAATCAAAATATCCCATTTTATTGTATCATTTTCCATGCGAATTTTTGCGCACATGATTGGTGACGCAGACGAACGAGGGTGTATATCATTTACCCATATTGCTAATTGGCTAATTTAAAATACAATGATATAACCCCATCGGTAAAGCAGTAAAAAAATACTAGGAACTGGCCGATATGAATGGTACGTGCAATTAAACTGTGTGCCATGGTGTAATAAGAAAGGTGAACCAAAGCATAATGGCGGTGGGCCAAAATCTCGACCAATCAGAGATTGGGCAATTCGTCCGGCGCGAGTTACGAAGCTCATAAAATAAAATAAACTAAACATGAAAAAAAAATTTCTATAAATAACATATTTTCTGAATTATTTTTCTTTTCCTATGCATTTGAGGAAAAAAGGTTTATATATAAGGAAACTTGTAAAGAACTTGCAAAATAATTCTCTTCTATTTTGGCTGTGTTCCAAATTTACTGCCAGCACTGAAAATGCTACAGTTTACGTGCACTATAGATTTTCAGTACTGACAGTCAACTTTGGAACACAGCCCTTGTATAATGCTTACAGCACGACTGACTGCTCCGTCGGCCATTTTGAATCAGACAAATTGCCCAAACTTTGATTGGCTGATATACTCCCCGCTCCTTTTAGTCTACTGCGCATCCACCGGAATGATTCACCTTTCTTATTACACCATAGGCCTGTTCTTTTTGGCTGAACTTTTGCACTATAGTTCATCTTTCTTCCTTTTCTCTCCAGGAGGAAAGTGCACCGCTTTCAACAGACGACGCGACGCGTGATGCGCTCAGTGGAAACGCACCCTTAACATCTTCCCTCAGGCGCCGTTAGTCCTCTTGTTTTGCTCGCCTCTTCCGAGAGTACCTTGGACGTACATACAAATGCGTAATGATATATCGCTGTAATAAAAAGCGCAGAAGAAAAGGATTTTATCATAGCGGAACCATAATTGCTTCCGCATTTTATGCGAAGATCATTAATCTTTTAAGCAATTATTTAATATTATATATAGAATGGAATTTTGAAAATATAGATACACGTATCTTTGAATGAAGTTGAAATAATTTAAGATCAGCGAACCGGTCGCTTTCTTAAGATTATCTTTTTAATCAAATACGCTTGTTACATTACAAAATTATCTCGCATTAAGGCGTCACACTAAATATCACGTACGAGAAACTCACGAGAGCATTAATAATAATGACGAAAAAGTGGTGCTGATGAGTCGGTTGATGAGCCAATTTGCATGAACCTCTTAACTACTACTGTACCCTCTATTTATCCCGGGGGGAGGGAGCAGAGAGCGAATACGTTCGTAATGGACGTGCCTTTCTTTCGAGATCGTCTTTAAGCAGATTCACTCTCGCGTAGATCCCGACCATATAATAACGATTGTGCTGTGCAAGCAAGTGGTACGCTTTAAAGTATCAGACCAACTATAAAAAAATCACCTTTCATGCGGAGAAGAGCCGTAAAATAATTGTATGGCAGCTTGACAAACTAATGACGAAACTTAATCTTCGCGAGGCGTCACGCGATTTTGCAATCCGCTTAATCGTGGTTCCAAGGAGCCGTATCATTTGTAATGAAAAGATGGAGGAAAAATCACTTGTAAAAATATTTCAAATTACCGATAGCGCTTGACCGACATTAATGACAGTGGAGAAGATAATACCCTTTGCTATTCGCGAGAGATAACGACTCATCTGGGATCGTTAAAAAAACCGTTAGCGTTTCACATATGTGGTGATATTTTTTATCCCGTCCTTATTTTGCGCGTAAAAACCTGGAAAGTCGTAAAATTTTCAGTATTTTAACACGCTTCTGCTATTTGCGAAAAAGATCATTCAATGGAGCGGAAAATATCATTTTAACTGTTTGAAAGTGGAGATTTCATCCTTTAAAACGAACTCGGATAAATTGTTTTGAGATCCTTGAAAACTAAGATACAACCTCTCAAAAATCGGTAAAATTTGTAGATTTTAAAATAATTTCCTGTTATTCGTAACGTACATATATAAAAATACAACTTAGAAAGGATCGGTGTGTCTAATGAACCGGAGTTTAATAATCTTTTACGATAACACACCAAGCGATCTGTCGGCGTGGATTGTTAGACAAGCACCGGGTATATCGAGCAGGCAACGACCTCGAGCAGAGCCTAGTGCAATGTTCGACCTCAGCAAGGATACTCGCAATCTGCGGTGCATCGGCCCAAGAGAGCCCGGAGAGACGTCGGATCGCTGACTTTACATTTCACACACCTACCTAACAATGGGCGAACAAGGATCCCAGCAGCTTCATTATGATCGGGGAAGGGGATAATGAGGGGAACGCTGAGGCGGATCTCAGTGTCTTTAGTTATAATCCTGACCGGTCTTTTTTTCCTGTTACGTACCAATAGCAAGACGCTGCCACGCGATACGGACTGATAAAACGAAAACCAACTATGTACTTCAATCTTACCGTGTTCTCTGTCATCCCAGTCGAGTATACGTTAAGTCCACGTTTTTATTTTTTTTTACGCTGGTAAAAGACTCGTTTCTTTGAGCTATCTTCTTCAAATCTCATGCGTGTAAAAATATTTTCTACTTTGAATAATGAGGCTGATAAGTAAATTAAATCATTTCAATTATTGTTTATCTTTCACATTTTACATCTATTTTTCTTATAAATATTGAAAATCTCTGGTTTGTCTGTTTAACAAAAGTATCTCAAGAGAAAATTTAATAAATGTTTAAGCAGAAAAGAATATTGGAACGCGAATCATTGTTCATTTAAAAGCCATTATTTCTGTTAATCTTCAATTTTTTAAGAATTGGTAGTAGTCAGCTTTTCATGCAACATTTGAACTTAATTTAATTTAACAAGCTCATTTTACTCGCGATTTCTAGTCTGATTGCAATAATATTAATAATAAAACTTCTGGACAAATTCTCTCCCTGTTACAAAAGGACTCTCATGTGATCGTCATTCATCTCTTAAAACAATCTTATATACGAACATTTTATTAAATTTTAAATAAATTAGAAAATTATTATTAAATTTTATACCCATTATAGAAATTGCAGATTTTTCTTTTTTTGACGCAATTTTTGTTTTTTCAATAATTGAATACATTCGAAAATAACAGCTGTTTCAACACATTCCCGTAAGATATTCATAAAGAAATAAAGATAATATAACACTGTACTTACGACATTTATCTTCAATTTCTCGAGTTCTAGTGATTGTAACATTTGTGATGAAGTTCAGAACCAATGCTTATGTTTCCGTTACCTTTGTTTCAGGAAAACGGTGGTATCGAATATTTCAACACCATCGTGGTACAGCCACATTTGAAGTTGGTCACGAACCAGGGCAGAGGTTTTCACGTGAGATGCAGATACCAGACACGCGACAAAGTCGTAACGAATGATCAGACTCAAGTCTCCATGATGCAGTCTCTGCCGTTGCAGGTAATAAATCATTTGGCGAGATGAGATATATACACCACTCAATAAAATTAAAGGACCATTATTCCATCTAATTTTTGCATATCTAAAGCCTTTTCCGAGATATAGGGTCTGGGTCAGATTTTAGAAACACTCTGTATAGATATATTTTTCGGATAAATAAACTTTCAAGAAAATTGAAGTAAAGAACTAAATAAGATATCACGTAAAATGTTTAAACTGCGAACTGCCCGCAGGCGACCGCACCGATGCCGGGATGCACGATGAAGATCTTCAGCGGTGATCCAACGCAACATCACGTGGCGGAGAATGTAAAGATTGGCGATCCCTTGACCCTGGTCATTAGCATCGACAAACAAGAGATGTTCGGTTTGAAGATCTCCGATTGTCTGGTACGCGATGGCCTCGGGTGGGGCGAGCAGCGGCTCATAAATGACGAAGGGTAAGTCAACTTATGGCATTGAAGGGATCTTAGATAAGATTTTAATAACAAAGACGAAGATAGTGACGATGAACAAAGCGAATTGATTTTTTTCTGATTTCTTTCTTTCGCGATAGAATCATTCAGTTTGTCTTGTTCACAGTTGTCCGATAGATGGTGAGATAATGGGACAATTCGTCTACAACGAGGATAAATCGGAGGCCAGGGTGAATTTCCAGGCGCACAAATTCCCATATACGGCGAGCGTGTATTATCAATGCAACGTTAGGCTGTGCGTCAAACAAGGCGGAGGATGCAGTAATACGGTATTGCCGTCATTTTGATATATAAGACTAGTTAGCTTGAATATGATATATAAGACTAGACTGCATAATAATAGTCCTCCGCGATGACTGCTAAGTACTACGTTTATAATAATCCTTTAACAATTTTATAATAGCTGAATGTTGGGGAAATGTTCTCGAATTTATGAACGGTTTATCGTTTGAAAATATCAGCATTTACTTCATTGACACGATTATTTGGTTGAATTTAATCACATAGTATGTTATACAAACGCACGCGAGATGTTACGTAATATATGATCCTATGAAAGAAAATACTCGAACTTCACATCAATCGTTCCTCAAAGACTTACCACGAATAGTCATCGTTTATTTTTCGTTTGCAGCCACCGTTGTGTAATTCGATAGTCAGACGACGCAGAGATACCGCTAATGCCCACGAGGTGAAGGGTGTTGAAGATCTGGACGGCACCCCGGCCACAATCGAAGTTTACAGTGGTCTTTACGTCAATGAAGCATCGGACGTTGGTTCCAAGTCAGACTTCTCCAACGACGTCTTTCGTGAAAGGGTAATATGAATTTACTTGATTTCTGCTGCGGAGACAACGTTAACTCGAGAGTAGTCATTCAGTTTTTTTTTTTTTTAAATAAATGATTATATATTTTTCACATTGCAAATAAACATTATTATTATACCTATTATACTATGAATTCACCAGACATGAATATGAAATATATCAATACTAAAATAGTAAAATATATATAAAAATTCTTTAATTTGCGAACAATAGTTTACAATTAATAAAATATTTTGCTGGAGATTTGTCCATCTTCGATTTGCTGCTGGAGATTTATCCATCTTCGATTTTTTGTCGCAAGATCAAATTTAGCTGTCTAAAGACTTGAATAACAGAATTTCTAAATAAAATGGGATTAAATTCGTTTAATTTCATCATTTTCTTGATTTCTCTTTTTTAGGCTCTCGATGACCCGAACACCATTTGCATATCGCAGAGGAGTTTCGCTATTGGGATTGCTGCCGCCGGTCTCATACTCATGCTAGCTGTGGTAGCCGCCATCCTAATACTACTCGCCAAGAGAAGGCACAAGAGCTTGTCCACGACAGGATCGTCCATCTACAGTGGACCGTATACTAACACCGCTTACAGCCACAGTAGCTAAGTCCGCCTACAGTACAGTAACTAAGTTCGACGCGAGATTAAGATAGTCGAGATGTGGTTCTACAGTAAATCAAGTTACCATAGAAATGTCTAATTTTTTAATATAATGAAGTTGAAGTACCGAACTTGACGTGTGCAAAATTCTAGGATAGGAATTATCAATGTGTGAAATAAGAGAGAAAAAGAATGTTGAAAATGTAACTTTTAACGTATAACCTATAAATAGTGCTGGGATTTACTTGCACATTTCGGCCGATTTTCAGCTTAGTTCCTGCCCCTTACTTTACTAACCCGCGCGCAGCCTAAATGCCGATCACCTGAAATTTTCGGCATTTTACTGTAGAACCACCTTAAATTCATTACGTTCATTGATTTTCATTTTGAAATTTACTAAATTCTTTACAATCTTAACGTTTTATATTGAATTTTAATGAAATCTTAACGAATTAATACTAAATATGAGTCAATTGATACGCGGATACCTACAACTCGCTGATTCGCGTAAAGTACACACGAACAGTCTCGTCAATGCGCGTGCCTTAGCGCCATGTCTTCCAATCTCCGATTTCAGTATGCAATTTAGTAATATTTCGTTATTATTTATTACAATTTCAGTAAAAAATTTCTATCAGAGAGTACAGGTATTTAAAAAAAATCTCGCAATTGTTTTATAAGATACTTCAAAACTGTGTGACTTTCAAAGTCGCTATTTTCATTAGTCAATTTGTATTAGTAAATTTTGAAATTCTCACTAGAATCCAAAATCTTCGAAATCTTTAAGAATCTTTGAAGAACCATTTCCAGATAATTTTAATATTTATAAAAAGATAATTATTAAATGTCTATAGACATCATGTGTACTCTGAAAGAGTTATTAAGTAGTAAACTTAAAATCAAGCAGTAACAAAAATAGCCCGCTAATTGATTGCACTTTGTCTAACTAATAACTTGCTAACGAATGTATCAATGGCAGTGGTATAACTTTGAAAGCATAATTAGAAACACATATGTGCGAAGTTTAAAGAAAATTTAATTATAAAAGTAACCAAGATTCAGTATGATGTGTGCATGAGTTGATTATTGTAAATCTCCGATAAAACTGCCAGTATGGTGAATGAATTGTCGCAAAGACGCAAAGCAGTCATAATTTTGGAGCTGTCATAGAAACGAAATTATTAAAATCCGAAATCACGCACTTACCCCATAAATTATTCCGACGTATACGACAATACGATACTCGAATGAGTGTGACGTATGCGAACGCTCAACATAATCAGATTGCAATTCATTTATAACGCTTAAACATTAATGTTAATTAGCCTAATTGAAATGAGACGCTGTTTCAACGTCAGTATATTCCGGATCATTTAGGAGGAATCATAAAGTAAGTGTTTTCTAATGATAAGTGCGCGCTTCAAACGGTTCTAATAAAAAAAAATTCAGCTTCGAATTAAAACGTAAGAAAATTTGAGGCATGCCGGAGGATACCGATGTCGCGACAGCTTGGAGCGTTTAGATATTAATTGACGAAGACAAGGAAGTTTTACTGCTAACGCAGTCGCATAACTGGGTCCAACATGGTGATGGGTACATGACATGTAAAATTTTACATTTAGAGAGAAAGAGAGATTGACACCCAGCGTAACGTAACTGTTATCTCCTCAAGCACTGTATGCTTCCGTGTAAGAACAAGGTGTTGTGGTATAGTAGTTTTCTGGAAATGACAATATATTGTGATGGCTGTTCCGGATGGACTTTGACGTATCGAATAAAACGCAATGCCGATGTTTACACGCTTTATCAGAAGCAGACAAATTAATCTTCGCCGATTTAAAGGCTAATTGATTCTTAGTGATAGATGTTCAAATTCTTTTCTTGAAAGTTTTCAATCATATTATTATTCAAATTGTTTTGAATATCGTTTGAAACTAGAAATTCTTAAGTCATGAATATCTATGTCCTTAAAAACGTTTGAATATTTGAAACATTCGAAAAATGATTGAGGCCCCATCATCGTCTTTTATGTGCTTGCGGGGATAAACACTCTTACGCCAAGTATCGTTATTAAAAGGTGTCTTAAAAGTCGATACAGAGCAGAGTATCGGCCTGTTATAGATTTTAAAGAATGACATGTAGTAAATACGTTTTTCAGTGTTTTCTCAAATCTCTCGAGAGTATCTCGCATGCGTGGATACGGGCCTTCGAATGTTGCGCACGAATTTATGTAACTCAGGGGCGAGATCATCATTTTCTTTCGTACTAAGTACACCAATAGGGTAAACGGTTTCCGGTCCTCCTAGTATTATCCTTTCGAAAAGTGCAATAACTTCGAAGCGTTCCGTGGGTCCCGCGGAATTTCTGTCAAGGATTAGAATTGCCCGGCGAATGGATCATACATGGTTTCTCGCCGCGCTATGGCATTGGTTCATAGTGATCATTGGGGACGAAAATGCCTATATAGTATTTCTTTCTAGCGTTAGAAGGTAACGCGAATCCCGATGCTCCCACAATGTTCCTCTGGACCCTTGTCAAAATCAAAAGAATCTACAACGAATTTGTGTAAATAATAAACATTTAATAAAACTAATAATTGTAAGGTGTTCTCTCAATAGTCCTTCGATCCATACGATCTTTCTGAGCGAGTCTTGTCGTTTAACTCTTCGTTATCACTACGGATCAAAATGATCCATAGTCCGAATTTCTGTATATATAACTTTACGGCATAGCTTCTAAGCTAATCTTAAGCGATATCAAGCAGGAGTTTGAAGTCTCCTCTGTCGATTGAGATAATTAGGCTATTCAAAAACGCAGTACACGTATGTCAGCTGTTTGAAGAGAAAATAATACCTTTTTCACATGTCGAAAAAAATTTTTTTTTAAACGCGCACTACTACATATTGTTATCTGAAAGTACTATATTTTAAGAGTACCATCCTAAAATTTTAACTTAAAAAAAAGTTAAAAAATAAAAAAGTTATGACTACATTTTATGCTACAGTTCTTTGTCTTCAAAAAATTGTTCAACATGTTATTTGGTTCATAACTTTTTTTATTATCATTAATAAAACACATTCTATAATGTTCAAAGTATATTCCATATTTTTAGTATCAGACGAGTAATTTTAGAATGGCAGCATCAATTGGCCAATTTGGCCAATATGATAAGCGTGAAACTTTACAAAAGTGTGACAACGAAGGATTAGATTGCAAGTAGGTACCTTGTTAAAATTTTTTTTTTATAACTTTTCATATAATTTTTCAGAATTTTCATATAAATTTCAGAATTTTTCAGAATTTCTGTATAATTTTATAACTTTTTTAGAAAATTTCTTAATTTCTTTATACATTTTTCAGAAATGCTGAAAAAGTGTGTATCTTTTCTAAAAATTTTCATATATGGAAGATGACCGGAACACTGGAAGCCATAAAAATTTAAACTTAAAAATATTACATTTTATTTACTATTTTATTATTCGTGGAGATATTAAGATGACTCGAAACCAGGGTTGGGAAAGTTACTTTGTAAAAATAATTAGTTACAGAGAATTACAGTTTTTTTCTTTCAAAAGTAACTAGTTACAGTTCCAAGTTACCGAGACTAAAAATTAACTCGTTACAATTACAGTTACTTAAAAGTTACTTTTCAGTTACTTTTCTGTTATCATGATAGAACAATATGAGTGACATCGATATTATTAGGGCTTAAAGAAAAAATAATTTACATTTACAATACAATTTTATTTAAAAATTCTTTTAATTTCGCGAGATAATTCAAATAATGGACGAAATAATAAAATATTCTCTCTGGGCTGCGTTCCAAAACACAGGGTGTGTTCCACTTACGTTTACAAGGTTCGTATCATTTTATCCTTGTTGTTACAGATATTAAACAATGAAATAATACACACGAGCGTTGCGGATGTTAAGTGGAACCCACCCTTAGCGCTACAAATGCTTCAAAGCATTTGATTGACCAATCGAAAGAAAGAATTTTACAAACCGACTAATCGACAAATACTTCGAAGCATTTGTAGCATCAAGTGGACCGTAGCCTTAATCAGTATTCAGATTTTAATCAATCACGTTAAATTGACAAATAAGTTTAAAATGTAAAGTAACTGTAAAAATAACTGTTAAATTAGTTACTAGTTATTGGAAGAAATATAACTAAGTCAAGTTACAGTTATAAATGGAAAAAAGGAACTTTTAATGCCTATATATATAAATTCTAAGCAAAATCGTAAGGCTCGTAACATATTCCTGTAAGATTTGTAAAAATTTTTAAGTATCAGACGAGTTTTAAGTGCTTATATCTTTATACAATATTTTTGCAGACAGCTTCTTACTAGTCATAAAATTTGCAAGAAATCGTAGTTATTTACGAATAATCGTACGTCTTACGATACATACGCATAAAATTAGAATACTAGTCATAAGTTCTTACAAATTTTACGAGAACACATTACGAGTCTTACGATTCTGCTTAGAATTGACCCATAAGTTAAGTTACAGTTACTGAAAAAAAGTAACTGTAACTATAACTTAGTTACAAGTAACTAGTTACTTCCCAACTCTGCTCGAAACATATAATCAAGTTTATTTGGAAGCATATTTAGAAGTCTTAATTCATGTGTAAATTGCAAGTTTCAACGTAGGTAATGAAATTTTATGCATTAAAAATTTTATTTATGCATTAATTTCGGTGCAAGACTTTCATATACCCTTAATAACTCTACTTATTACTTCTCATTCTATAATTTTTGAAGACAGTTTATAAAATCTGAGAAATTCAAGATATTTTTCTAGAAATCTTCATAAATTTAAAATATGACAAATTCTCAAAAATTTGGAGGACATGCAATGTCTCGAGAAAAATGTACCGAAATCTACTAAGTTGGGACGTCCCGAAATGACGTATTACCAAAATTTGAGACGTACGATATTGTTCCGAAAAGTTATTATTGTTCTAAAAATTGTGTCTAACAATAAACTAAAATCAAAATTCAAAAGAAGAGACAATATCCCAGAGAAAAATACAATCATAAGATCAGTAATGTAAATCTTTTCGATATTTTTTCTCGAGGAGGAAAATTTCGAAATTATAAAGAGAAAATATATAAACATACATAATGTAGATGTAGATAATAAAAAAACCTGTGCAGATAACAATCTCAGATATATATATGATATGTTATGTTCTTTAGCACACGCGCAGGATATTTAAAAAAATAAGAAAAATAACATTAGAATTTATAATGACTGCGTTCAACAGGATTTTCTTAACATTCGACTGTGATTAGAATTGCTTAAGGATTAACGCAATTCATCGATTAGTTACAAAGATTTAGAACAAATAAATATTTTGTTTATTTATAAAACTACTAATCTCTGCAGCACAATGTAACTTTTGTATAAATCATATCTTAAATACTAAAAGTACTTGTATTAAAAAATTGAGAATTAATTTCGTCATTATTTTATTAAACATTTCTAGACATTTTCATTAGAGCACAGATAAAAAAATACTAATTCTTGTTGAAATAACTTTCGATCCAGATGGTAAACCGTTGATAAATTTTTGTATTACTTTTAAGGGGATGTTGACGTACGAAATTGTCGATATCACAGGTTAGAAAACGTAGAATAGAAAATCCATTTACATGCTTAAAGTGTACACAGAAATAAATAAAAAATACTTATCTTAATCTTAAAAACGGAATTTTTAAAATATACATATATATATATTAAAATATATTTTGTGACATTGTCTCGGTTTTTAGATTTCGTATAACTTTGCGGGACATTGCATATGTCCACCAAAATATTGAGATGTAGGAATTTTTCTCATCACAATGATTATTCTGGCAAAAATAAAAATTGGAGCGTATAAGTTAAATGTAAGGAGAAAATGATGAAAACGTAAAATGAAACTTTTAGGAAATGTAAATTGGAACTTAAAAGCGTTTTAAGAAGTAAACTTTTCTTCTCGTTCTCTCTCTCTTTCTCTTTCTATGTTTCGCTATATATTCCAATTTACATTTCTAAATTTCAATTATGCTTGTGTCATTTTCGTTTTATATTCAATTTACGCTCCGATCATTATTTTCGTCACGATAAAACAAGGAACGGAAGTGTTTCGAACGTCACAAACAAATAATCAAACGCAAATTATCAAACGCGAGTATCTTCTTTCTTTATTGAATTATATATATAATTCGTTTTTTGAAAATATGATATAATATATATATATATAATATATATATGTATATAGTATAACAAGAAATATAATTAGACTCATATGACTTCTATATCAAATTTCTTTTCGGCTCTCTATGATGTGCATTTCGGATGAGTAATAGCTTTTTATTAACGCCACAGAATTGTCAATTACTCAGCCTTTCCCTTCTCTCGTTGCCCTCTCGTTACTGTAGATTATATTTATACACAGATAATTCAGGTCAATTTTCTTTCCTTTTTCATCAACCACTCTTCCTCAACTTCTCATTATCCTTCCTCTTAACTAGGATTATACGTAGCTCAACGCGTTGCAACTCTCCCCATAGCCGAAAAAAATCGATGGACATGTCCGTTTTCACAGGAGACCCTACTTCGTAATAAATATAAATATATATTTATATTTCTTCCTAAATACTTGTACGAATGCATTATGCTTGTCTGACATCTGGAGAAGTGGCGAGTGACGCAAGTCATCGCTCTTTGTCGCTGTAAAATTAGCAAAACGAGAGAGAACGCGATCACGGTGAGGTGTTGTCTAAGCGCGGAGGCACAGCCACTAATTTATCTTTACAGTACCGATGCGCTATATCGTAATGCGCAAAAAGTAATACATGTATGGATATATCGGTACATATTCGCAATTTGTCCGCGTTATCTAAATAATTTTCAGAACCGATCTCATCGACGTAGTTTAGGAATGCGATCGATTAAATCTTTCATCTCCTTGTCTGCGCCACAGCTAAAGCTGATATGGATAGAGAACCAATTAGATCAATATTAACCTTACATTACTCGCGTGTAAAATATATCCTAGCCTTAAAAATCTACTAAACCTACAGAGTAAAACTTTACAATTGATTGAATACTGCACAAATTGTTTAACAATTAAAAAAAACTTTTGCACTTATCTTTATCTAAAAAAAATGTATGGAACATGATTAATCTCTTTAATTATGTTAAATCGTCAGAGAACAATGATGAAAATTAACATAAAATATTTGTATAATATTTGTAAACCTATAAAAAATCAATAAAATATTAATAAACTTTTTTTTATTAAAAAACGTGTCAAAAAAAATGACAAAAAATCTAATCTTTTCTCAAATAAATTTTACTTAAAAAAATTTGTAATTTTTTATCCGAACGAGATTCATACAGAAGATGCACTAAAACATGTGATAATATATATACCTTACCTTTTTTTCCGATCGTTTGGATGGGCTCTACAATGTCAACGGCAAACCATGGTCACACGAAACCTCGAGCAAATGTTAATAAAATCTTTTGAAAAAATTTGTACTTAACTATTAAATTAAATATATTAAAATGTATATGTGCACTCTTAAAATTTATCAGAGTTATTGTTTTTTCAAACAAAAATTCTAAGTTTGTTCCATTTCTGAGCGCTATAAATCAGAACCTCCCCTTAATAATAACACTGATTAGCATCCTAAAAATTTGTAAATAATTTATTACGAAAAATATTCCGATTGAGATGATAGGTTTTTAAGAAGCTAATCTTCTTAAATTAAGAAGCTAGTATTATTAGATATTGAATAAAATTGATAATTGTATATATATTTACACATGAATATTACTAAGCACCAAAACTCGCTTTGATCGAAAATGGCATTCTTCTCTCTTATTTGTATTTAAATATTTCTCGGTTTATTTCACTTAATATTGTTTTGCACTTATCTTTATCAAATGATGTATGAAATATTATCAACTTTTAATTGTAAATCATCAAAGAGTACAATGAAAATTGAGATTTAATGCCGAGGTGTACACTTCATGCGAGTAAATACGTCAAAAAAAGTTCACGCAAATAATGTAAGGTTACATCCCCCCCCATAGCAAAAAATGTCACAGTTACATCACAACAATCATGGTTATGTCATGGTGATGTGCGAATGTCCGCTTTATCACAATGTGACGTCACAGCAATGTCATGGTGATGTGCGAATGTCTTTGTAACATGTATTATTTTGTTATGACAATCTCACAGTGACATCATTTTTCTTCCTGACTATGACTATGACTACTTGTGATTCTATTGTGACATGAATGTGACCCTTTACTATGGAGATCAATACTTGCAATTTTTTGCAAAAATTCATTTCATCATCCTACAATTTGCCAACCTGAACGATAAAATTTTGAATGAGAATAATACAGAAATATTTCGGATTTGAAATTCAAAATGTTAGTTCACTATCGGCTAATCTTATCTCTATATCACGATTCTATTCAATTGCAGAACAGAAAAACTCATTCGTCAATCCTTTTACCAATACCTTAATTCTGTAACTCTTAACAATAATATGGTATCGTTATATTATCGTTGAGCAGATTTTTTTCCTATCTACGCAACACCAATGTATCTATATCGACACTGTAGTTAAAGAGTTACAGAATCCTAGTACAGGACGTTAATCGATGCGACCGGTTTCTTGTCAAGTATTAGGTGTCACGTTCACCGTAGTTCTCGTTCGCTTTGCAGTCTAATTATCTAAACATAAGCAACTGTGATAAAAAGATACGCTTAACGGTAAGATACGTTGTTTCCTGTATCGCTAAAGTAACTCCATTTTCACGTCGTTTTGACACACGTATCCCGTGTTCTTATCGGGAAGTAGCGAAAACACAGATCGCGATGTTTCTCGCTATTTCTCGCAAGTCACTCCATCGCGTCTATTATATTATACAACAAATAAGAAAACAAATAATTTTCTGCTGCGACTTGTTACGCAGAACAAC